TCCCACCGCTGCCACCAATGTAACGCGCCGAAATAAAGGACAGATCCTTCACGTAAATACACACGCGTCTCTTTTTTATTCTCTTCTCAATTCTCCGACTCAGACCTCTCCCGGAGATCCTATTACAACAGCGTGGTGATTTCGCAACAACAAATGTCACGCATTCGTTCGTCACAATAACATTAATTAGGAAAAAACATTCAATTGATGCGAGCAGTGGATTCAAATGTCATTGTGTTCAACTTGACTATCAATCGAGGTAATTTCGCTGAAGTAATTGGGAAACCTAGTAGATTTCAGAAAAGAAAAAAAAATTGGGGGGTTAGTTGCACTTTAACTTTATTTGTAACTTTATTCACTTTTGTATTTTTATTTTCATAGATAGGCTTTTATTTTGTAAATGATTATAATGGTTGAAAATTTAATTTGTACATAGTCCTGATAATTGCAACTTAATTTTTAGGTGTCCCCTATTAGCAGCAATGCTAAATCTCACTGATACGTAAATAAAGTTATTATTATTATTATTATTATTATTATTATTATTATTATTATTATTATTACCCTTTTGTTCTAAAGTCAGACTCAGGTCTCATTACTTAGTACTACACCGGAGACAAAAATTGTAACATGAACTATACCTTGACTGAATAATCATAATTTTTCTTTTTCTCAACAGTTCCTCCTCAACTTTCACTGTCATCCAATCGAAAGATGGCTGAAGAGACACAAAATGTCACCATCGCCTGCACTACCACTGGTCAGCCGATTCCCCGTATCACGTGGTCAAAGTCAGTTGGTAGTTTGCCTGAAGACAGAACTGAAGTGATGAATGGAATCCTGACAATCTACAGTGCGACAAGAAATGATGGTGGAATTTACATTTGTAAGGCGGAGAATATTCTGGGATCAGCATCAGACACTTCATTAGTCGTGATATTTTCTCGTTTGCGGTTCAAAATCCGTCCTCCTCAAGAAGTTACTCCTGTAATTGGTTATAGTATTCATCTACCGTGTATGGCCGAGAGTGACCTGAAACCGACAATGGCCTGGACCAAGGATGGCAAGTCTTCACTTCCTGTAGAGTCCAATTTTCTACCAAATGGAACATTGCTTA